TGTGACTCCAAGCTTCCTGTGTTCTTTTGGGCGGAGGCGATTAACATGGCGTGCTACGTTCAGAATCGCGTGCTGATCAACAAAGCCATAATGAAGAGACCGTACGAAATCCTATACGGAAACAAGCCATCTGTCAGCCATTTCCGAGTATTTGGCTGCCCTGGCACCCTTCTTCACTTGGAATCCAACCCCAAATTCAATGCAAAAGCCGATGACTGTTACTTTGTTGGATATACTGCTCGAACTGCTTACAGGGTTTACAACAAAAAGACAAAACAGATTGTAGAATCTTTCGATGTTCGTTAGCTCGAAGAAAATGAGACAGATGCAAGAGTGGGTCCCGATTGGCTATTTGACTACACATCTCTTTTCAAATCTTTTAATGTGTCCTCAGATAATCAAGCAGGATCTACGTTAAATTCGAAGATCATTATTGAAGATGAAGAAGACGAAGTTGTCTACCGACCACCACTAATTTCTTTTGATCCTCCAATGGTGCCCTCTGTTCACACTGAATCTTCTGAGTCTTCTCCTCAACAACCTTCTCCTGATGTTGTTGCTACTCCTCTAACTCCGGTGGAAAGAGAGTTCATGAACCATGAGACTTTTGCTGTAACTTCAAATTTGATGGAATTTCTCTTTCCAGAAAGTATTGTTGAAGAGTTTGTAGCAGATCTTCCGAACGAACTTTGTTCATCCTCTGTGAATCACACAGCAAATGATGGAGCAGTTAACATTCATACTCTTCCAGTCTCTGTCAATGATATCAGCTACCAGATCACTACAGACATTCAGCGTGACCATCCAATAGAGAACGTCATTGGCCAGCTGGGCGACGACGTTCAAACAAGAAGTCAAGGTGGGGATGTTAACATGTATCTCTACTCTTGCTTCATTTCTCAGATAGAGCCCAAATCTATCGAAGTGGCTCTGAATGAGCCCAGCTGAGTTGACGCCATGCATGATGAACTTAATTAATTCGAGAAGCTCGGGGTTTGGAAGTTGGTGGAGCTGCCAAAAGGAAAGAAATCTCTTGACACCCGATGGGTCTTTCAGAATAAACAAGACGACTCAGGTGTAATTGTGCGTAACAAGGCGAGATTAGTGGTTCGCGGGTTTCGGCAAGTTGAGGGTCTTGATTATATGGAAGTTTATGCTCTGGTCGCTCGTTTGGAAGCCATTCGTATCTTCCTTGCTTATGCTTCCTATATGAATTTCACTGTATACCAAATGGATGTCAAGACGGCTTTCTTATACGACAAGGTCAAGGAGGAGATTTACGTTGACCAACCACCCGATTTCCTTAAATCAAAACTTCCCAACCATGTTTACAAGTTAGACAAAGCTTTGTATGGACTGCATCAAGCTCTTAGAGCTTGGTATGCTACTCTGACTCAACATTTGCTCAACCACGGCTATTCCCGAGGCACCATTGATCAAACCTTATTCCTCAAACATGTCGGTCCAGATCAAATTCTTGTTCAAATTTATGTGGACGACATTATTTTCGGGTCGACAAGCTAACAGCTTTGCAAAGAGTTCGAAGCAGTGATGAAGAAGCGGTTCGAGATGAGTTCGCTTGGGGAGATGACCACATTTCTGGGGCTTCAGGTCCAACAATCTTCAACCAGAATCCTTATTCACCAAGCAAAGTATGTGGATCATGTACTGAAGAAGACCAGGTTCCGAGACGCGAAACCTGCTCTTACACCCATGGCTGAAAGACCTCTGCTGACCCCTGATCTTGAGGGTGAATCCGTAGATCAGACGCATTATCGATCAATGATCGGATCACTCACGTATCTGACTGTCAGTCACCCAGACGTAATGTTTGTGGTCTGTCAATGTGCTCACTACCAGGCTAATCCTAAACTCTCTCATTTACTTGCTGTTAAACAGATTTTTCGGTATCTCAAAGGGTGCCCAAAACTGGGTCTTTGGTATCCGAAAAATCCAGAATTTGACCTTTATGCTTTTGCAGACAGCAACTATGGCGGGTGTGAGCTTGATAGAAAATCGACTTCAGGAGGATGCCAATTTCTGGGGGATAGATTGGTTTCATGGCAGTGTAAGAAGCAGCATATCTTTTCCACCTCAACAACAGAAGCGGAGTATGTCGCTGCGTCTGCTTGTTGTTCTCAAGTCATCTGGATCCAACATCAGTTGTTGGACTACAGTTTCAATTTTCAAGAAAGCCCTCTTTTCTGTGATAATGAGGCTGCGATCCAAATTGCCAAAAACCTGGTCCAGCACTCAAAAACCAAGCACATCGACATCAAGATTCATTTTATTAGAGAATGTTATGAGTGTTCGCTCATTCGACTAAAACAGGTCCGCTCTGATAATAATGTAGCAGATCTGTTCACCAAGCCGTTTAACAAAGCTCGATTCGATGTGATGGTTAATTTTCTAAAAATGATCCGTTTTGAGGATTAATTTTTATGTTTAACTTAGGATAAATTTGCGCATTTTTTTTTCTTTTTATTTTTTTTATGCACAAATTTAGGGGGAGAAAATTAGAAAATCCAAAAACATAGAAAATTAGAAAATCCAAAAACATTAGAAAATCATAAAAACAAAAAGAAATTATGCTCCTTATGGAATGTGCTTGAGGGAGATGTTTTGGGAAGTGATATTATCAAGTGATAACAGACAATCTAAATCTGCATAACGTACCCAAAGTTGAAGGGTCTATGCTCTGATTTCATGCGTCAGTAGGCACAAAGAATTTAACAGACTTGACTAGGCAGAGTTGAACTTAAGAAATCAAATGACTTGATAAATCTTGACCTAGATAGTTCCGTTTAGCCTGACAATACGACGCTTGGATAGGTTGAGCAGGGAGATATATATGGGAATCTACTCGTCACATTAAATGAACCCGTATCTGGAACCGTGGTTTAACTTTTCCTTGATGTGCGGATTATGTCCTTAATTCCAGTATTGATCGGTCGACTGGTAAATTCCGATAAATTAGTCTGTAGAAAATCATTTTCTTTCTTTCTATCTGTTAGTCATATGTTACCTCCTCTGCATGATTGGAAGAGATCCGACCTGGACTGTAACATATACAACTCTATTTCTCTGCATATTATATATGAAATTCCTCTTATTTGTTAGCCGTATGCTGTCTCCTTTGCGTGACTAACAATCCGACCTAGTACACAGCATATGCAACCTTCTACTTCTCAATCCCTATAAAACTATAAGTAAAAATACTATCAATCTATCTTCTCTCCTAATAATGGTCTGCTAATCCGATGTAAGGAGTACTCTGGAAGTCCTTGATTACTGGGGCATATCAGGAAGCGGGAAACATGTTCCAGTACAATTAAAAATTGAACACTCAAAGATTGTCTATAGATCTCGCTGCTCAATTTAGGTGGACAACAATATCCCTGGTCGTCGTTAGCTGAATGGTCCTTAAGATACAATATCTAGGAACTCAGGATCACATTGTCTTGTCACTTATAGTATGTCCTAATTTTGTCACAATTTTTTGTGTTTAAGTGGACAACAATACCGGCGATCGACCAGACAAAGACGTGAAGATAGAAGGTACCGAAAAGCAGATAAAGGCTGTCTAAAAACTTTGATCCCTAATCTCAATAGGTTAAAACAATTTATATAGGATTAAAAATTAAATTTTAATTCCCTATCGTTAATAGTATTTCCAATTTTATTTTAGTTTATTCTATTTTTATTTTTATTTTTATTTTTTACTTTTATCTTAGTTAATAAGTTTTCTTTTAGTTTTTAATTTTAAATCCTTAGGAATAATAAATTTAGTCTCTTAAATCCTCAAAATGGTTTGTTTTTGAAAAATGGTATGGGGCCTCGGTTTATTTATTATAAAGGTGAGGGGGAGGAAATGAAAATATTTTGAGTATATATATGGTGTGTGCGGTGAGAATGTTACCGGCACTATTGCCACACGCGTTTCTCTCAACCGCACACATTTTTGTACCTTCTCTCTAAAAATTCTTGAATATTTCACTGTTTTTCTTGAAATCGAAGCCATTATCTGGTAAGTCTCATAAACACGGCTCAATATTTTAAAATTTTTTGTGAAAACCATCCATTGTTTGCTGTTGAAGCAAAATATAATTTGTTCGTCTCCAAGTGCGACCACACACGGTATGTACGGCCGCACACGGGCATGTGCGGCTGTATGATATGTGAGCGGTTGGGTGTGTGCGGCTGCAGCTGCACACTTACATGTGTGCGGCTGTGTGCACTTCTATGTGCGGCTGCACCATTTTTAATAAGTTTGCCCTAATGATTTTGTGCGTTTATTTTCAGATTAAGATGGGAGACATGGAATTTGCTAAAGTCCACAACTCCGCCATTTTTCTCGAAGACCCTCCTGCAGCTCACAAAGACTTGAAATTCATTGTGGATGGTTTGAAGAAATCCTGCTTGGTCCATGCTCTAACTACATGCCCTGCTATCTACCAGAATGTGATTAAGGATTTCTGGAGGAGCGCTGCTGTGAAGAAGAATGATCAGGGTGAAAAGTTCATTGAAGCATCAATCGAAGACAAGAAAATTCAAGTAACAGAGAGCATCATTAGAGAATCTCTCCAAATAGAAGACAGATCTGATTACACCATGGAAATTGACATTCATCAAACTCAGGATGTCTTAGAGCACATGGGATACGAGGGAACCTTTCCCCTACAATCAAGAAGTTGCTTCCTCCGTGTTGGAAGTATCTGGCTCATGTGTCCGTGAGCTGTATTTCCGGCAGGAGATCAGGAGCAAACGAGATCTCCCTGGCCAACACTAGTGCAATTGCAGCATTGGCTGCAGGATTTGAGTTCAATTTCTCAAAATTCATAATGAATGAAATGATTCTAAACCTTGAAGGGAGCAAAAGGGACAAATTCTTAATGTATCTAAGATTTTTGCAAATCATCCTTAATGTGACTCACCCCAAGCTGCAGAGAGGAAATGATACCTAGGATTTCAAATCCATTGGTCCAAGTGCTTTTGGACTAATGAAACAAAAGAGAGGCGGGAAATTTTTGTTTGAAGGAAAATTTTCATGGATAAAATTTGGAATTTTTGAAGAGAATGATAGAGAAGAATCAAAAGAGCAGTCCATTCTGATGGAAAATGAAGATATTTTTCATTCTACCTCCGAGCTAGAAGTGGAGGAGATTCATGATTCTCCCACAGCTTGTGTGGCTGATAAGCATGATTTTCAGAAAGCAAATGAATCGAAATCTACTCGAGACGATGATGAGGATGATCTTTATGATGATGTAGAGTTTTTAAAAGAAATTGACTTTACGGGGATCAGTGACGACATTCCAACAAACATAGAATTTGATCTTGGTGATGAAAATTTTGGTTCTTTTCCTGGAATTCCCAGCAGTCGTGTTACTAAAGTCGATGAAGTTTCTTCTTCAGCAACCAAGACTAGAGATAAAGGAAATGTTCTCAAGATTCTGCTCTCTACTTCAAAGCCCTTGGAGGTTGCATCAAGCTAAGGAGATGTGACATCAGAGATTCCTCCCTCTGTGTCATCCATCTCAACTTCTGCTCCAGTCATTCCAGAGTCAACTCAACCTTAGACTTCTCAGACATCCATGAAAACAAGCCAATCACTTGCAAGTCTGGAGGTACCCGCTGTAAGAAGTACACCTCAAGTTCTTTCAACAATCACTACTACCACTGTTCACTCTCCTCCAAAATAATCGGATGAAGGTCCGAGTACCATGTTTGAGACTGGTGGATCCTCATCCATTCCAGAATATTCTCCTACTCGACCTTCATTAGATGAAGCTTCTATTAGATTGGTAAAACACCTGGCACAATCTAGTCCAACCACCTCACACGGGAAAGGAATATCCTTTAGGGAGGGACGGACAGGTGATGACAAATCTTCTTCACCTGATCTTCGAAAGGAGATTGGGATTCTCCGTCAAGAGCTCATCAAAAAGTCAATTTAGATGGATCAGCTCACTACATACATTTTTGAGCTCAGGGCGAAGGATGAAGAAAAGACCAAACAAATTAAAGATCAGCAAACGAGTCTTGGATCCGTATCAGCCAATTATTTCAATCTCAAGAACATTTTGTACGATGCATTTGGTGAAAGAGTCAAAGCCCTCTTCCAACAGCCACATGGAATAGTTGATCCTCCCACAGTTCAATCACATTCTGCAACTGATGATCTTCCTGTCAACCCACCTGCTCTAAGAACAACCACCATTGTCAACAGGTTTGAAAAAGAACCAGAAGGAAGCAGAGCCAGAATCAGAATCAAACAGGGCAAAAGAATCGTAACTGCCAATCAAAGCGAAGGCCTTTTATTCATGAAAAAACTCTAATGAAAATCGCAAGGCAAAAGACCCTGTTTTGATCGTAACAGATTTGAAGAAAAGAAAGTTCGGTGACTAGTATGGAGATAGGTCTGGAATCTGAATGTGGGACTTTGATCCAGAGACGAATTTGTGGGTTGTAAAGTGATACTCAGGAATATCTGAGTGTTACAAAAGCACCCACGATTTCAACTCTTGGACCAAAACTGATCTAGCCGAATTATCCAGGGCCCCATTCCATAATCCCTCTGAAGATCCCAGTGCCTCTAACTTCAAAAGGTTTCTTGACAGACAAGTCAGAGAGAATTTTCAATCAATGAAGACTGCAAGAGCTTTGTATAGATAAGACAAAGAAATTCTTGATCCGGAATCAGGCGAACCCATGAAGATCATACTCTGGCCTGCAACTAAGCAACAAAAGGAAATTCCTATCCCTCAACACTTTCATGAGGGATATCTTGATAATATGGAATTTTGGGCCTATGATGACGAAACTGCAACTACTGCTATTAAATTCCAGGATTGAGAACAAGTTCTGAGATTGATAAGTGCCAAAGATCTTCTTCGATTTAGAGAGAGGGATATCCGGACTCTAGCTCGTCATCAGATCATTTGCAGAAAATACGTCATGGAAGTTGCTGCTAAAGAATTTACTGCAATGGTGGCTACAATCATCAATGGAAGAATGTGGATGGGCTCGATGGGAAGATCGGATCTAAAGCTGTATGAGAAGCCAACCGAGAAGCCAAACGAATGAAGTTCAAGACTATGCTAGTCTCAAACCAAGGGGGAGATTGAAGGTCCATAATTTTGTGGTTTGAGCTAGGCATAAATTTTGTATAGATCTAATCAGGGTGTCAGTGGTTGTATAGCAGTGTTGTGTATTGAACTTGTATGTGTGCAGCCACACATGTGTGTGCGGCCGCACACACGTGTATGGCTACACACTCATGTGCTGGTGGGCGTACTATTTATAGTAACTGATCTGTGTTAGATTGCACTTTTTGGCTGAACACTGTAGTGATTGTACTTTCTCAAGGTGTACTTGACATTTATTTGTAATAGATGTGTGCATGCTTGATATTATCTTCTTTTTACTCCTACACTTTATTTTGATTGCAATTAACTTCATTGATTACTGAATTGGATCCATAAATTAGGGACTAACAATCTTTTTCTCATATCTCTATCTTACTGATCATCATCGAAGTTCCTCTTCACTTTAAACTGATCTCACTTGCGTTTGAGTGCAAACGTTGTTATTATTCAGTTTGGTGTATACTTGATATAACTTGTCATTTACATTTCCTTTACTTTTCAACACTTTTAATTCCGCAACTAACTATCTAACAATCTAACTTCTTATTATTGTTGAGCTTTTATGATCCTTTGAGATTAACTTATTCCGCAACTATAATCTTGTACTAATTTTTGTTCAAGTGTTTCTCCCAAAGTTTTTCTCTCAACAAGCAGTTTCAACATCAGTTAACGGTGATAGGAGAATAAGGACGAGAGAGAGAGACTCAAACACGACTAGCATGGCCTCCGTCATCGTCGGCCTTTGATCTCCATGGCTGAAACGATGACAGGTGCCAGCTTTCGTCTTCGTTGGCAGCAATCACGACGGCATCAGCTACGGGTCGGAAGGAAACGAAGGCAGTAGGCCAAGTCCACAGCGAACAACATCAAGCTGACCGTCGGCATTAGCGGCAGCTTCGTCTTCAATGATTGGGCACAGCGGCGGTGGTAATGCAACAGTTGGAGGAAGTGCAGGCAACGACTGAAATGCAGTCTAACTAGAAAAACGACGACAACGTCAACCTCAACTTCGGTTCCCGGTGGTCCTCGTTAGCGGCAGCAGGAGCTTCAACGGTGGTTTGCGACTCAACAACAGGGGGTGTAGCGGTGCTGGAGATTAGAGGAAAAAGGGTGGCGGCTGGTGTGAAGGGAGGCATAAGGTCATGGCCGCTACTAGGGTTAGGGTTACCGGGGGTGGGGGGTTGACGGATATATACCCCGCCCCATAAGACTTTATCCCATAATGACATATTTTGTTCTTCATTCTCCTTTTTCTTTCATATTAAATCCAATTTTGCCAAATGGCCCCTCCTCTACAAAACCTTTTCAACTTAGTTACATAATTTACCCTTTTTGCCCCAGCCATCCAAAATCCTTTCATATTAAGTCCAAATGATACCAAACACCCCCTTGAATTCTAAAATCCTTTGCAAAATAAATCCCAAAATTACACTTTAACACCCAGATATTCAATTCATATCATTTGGCTCCCCAAAACTAACACCCCGCTAATTATCATTTGATTTTGGTTATAATAATATAAAATAATAATAATAATTACATCTCGGGGTTCCGAGTTTATTGTTTAATTATTCTATTCTAAACGGGATGTTACAAGAGAATGCTATTGGAGAGGCCCTATAGGGTGCGGGGCCAGCACCCCATTTTCCATTTTTGGAAAGTCTTTTCAGCAAAACACCATTTCCAAATAGTACATTACCAAACATTATCAAAACTACTTTTCACTTTGACTGAAATTAATTAGACAATCAAGGGACCTTCTTAGAATTTCTTCATTTCTTCTTTGAACAAATTACTGAAATTGTCCCTGTAGTTTGTAAAAATTTCACTTTTGGTCCCTATCTTTTGTTTTGGACTCAGACTGTCCCTATAGTTTATTTTCGTTTCGTTTTTCGTCCTTGACAGAAATAAAAAGACTATTTTCCCTTTGTATTTTTTTCAATTTTTTTGTTATTGGTTTATTATGTATTAATTAAATGATTTATAGACATGGGGCCACTCATATTCCCACATCTAACTACCACTGGTTACCAACAACCACCACATACCTCAGGCAACCCCCGTTGAACCACCACATTTGACATCGGACAACACTGATTCAACCTTATCTCCGGTCACCACACCAAATTCAAAAGAAATTGGACCAAAATAAAAAAACCCTATATAATCACAATCAAAATCTATAATCAAAATCAAAATCTATATACAAAGCCTAAAATCAAAATGTGTTCCTAAAAATCATTTCAGTAATCAAATACAAAGTTTATTTGACTATCCTTTGGTTCCGTGGGTTCATATGTAGACAAAAGTGGGTTCCAAATGTAGATTGCAAATACCTTGAGGAGATAAAGGGGATGGGTGACCGGTTCCATAGGTAAGGTCACCGACGAAGTTTTCACATGTCGATGAGGTTACCAGCTCTGATGCAAGCTCTAACACGGACGACATCAGAACCACTAAATGCCCATGGATCGCCGACCAAACTAATTTGTTGCTTCTTTCCACCCCTTTCTCTCGCCAGAAACCAATGTCATCACCATCTACCCTGTCTCCCTCCCTCTTAGCTATACCTGTATTTTTATTGCCTTCTAGAACTAGATTTGTTTGGAGATAGACGATGGCAATGGTGTAGGCCTCTGAGTGGCGGTGATGGTAGCAGAAAAGGATAATGAACAGTGGTGGTAGAAGAGGATAGTGAACGGGGTCACAGCTCTAATGGGGACTTGAATTGCATGTTCAACATCAAATTTAGAGGTGCATGATTCCAATGGTGGCGACTTTAGATGTGCAGTTTTCCTGCATCGGAAATGGAGTGGTCCTCATTGAGAGTGGGTTGCAGATTTCAAGCCACCTTAATACCCTTCACCTTGATCTTCCTAGGGTCGCCGAAATGGAGTAGACATCAACAATTTTCTTGTGATTAGTCGCCGAATTTGAAGAAGGTAGAGAGGAAACGAGTGTGTGTGAGACAAAGATATAAAAGGTAGAAGCCTTTTTTAGAGTAGATGGTGGCCCACATGTTTTTTTCTAAGTTATAAATAAATTTAAAACAATAAGTTAATTGAAAATAAAACATTAAGGGCATTATAGTCATTTTCTATTGGACAGGGACTTACACCATAACAAAGTAAAAACCTAGCAATGATTTAAGGGATTATGACTTAAAATAGTGATGTATTTTTCGATTTGTACACATTTGCTTACTAAGTTTTTTTTTGTCCACATTTACCCCTTCAACTTGTTAAATTGTACATATTTAGTACTTATGATCGGTTACTGTAGTTTAGCAGGTAAAAACGACTTAATAGGGTAATATATTTCTCACTTTTTACACATTTAGTCCTTAA